GTGCTGGGATTACAGGCTTGAGCCACCGCGCCCAGCCCAAGACTCTGACTTTTTACTGGGCCTGGTGGGTGCTGGGCTCTGCCACAGACCGATCAGAGAGGAATCTGCCCAGGATCTAGGCTAGCTGGGGGATAGACACTAAATAAATGTGACTGTAGACGTGAGGACTTCCCAGAGGAGGTGATATGTGGACAACAGCATATGCGCAGGCCCAGAAGTGGGAAAGCGTATGGCCTGTTCATGAAATTTCAGTAACATGTGCTGGCCTCCCCACCCCACTTAAGTGCTCTGCAGAAGGAGAAGTCACCTGAGACACTCACAAGGTTACATCTTGCTTGCTCAGGACTGCAGGCGCCGTGACTCAGCTGAGGTCAAAGACTTCTCTGACTCCAGAATCCATTTCTGTCTCTTAGCAAGTAATGACTCACTATCTAGTCTTGTTTTGTTTACAAATCCCCAATACAAGACACACTGTTAAAACAACAATAAAAACAGGCTGGCAGAGGCTAGTCTCCGGAAATACATCTGACAAAGGAATGGCAACTGAACAACAAAAGTAACTCTAATTAATTTAAAAATGAAAAAGTTAATTTTGGGCCACAAAAATTTTGGCACAAAAATAGGCCAAAGTGTTCACAACGGTGGATATCCAAATGGCTAAGGGACATATAAAAAGAGGAGCAATATCTGCGTTCACCAGGTCACCGCAGATGACAGCTACAGTGTGATGTGAATGCACATGCAGAACGGCTAACTTGGAAAAGACAGGGCAATGAATGAAACTCACAAAACTGTCGGCAGGTGTGTAAAATGGTACACCCACTTTGGAAAAAGCTCTGGCAGCTTCTAACAAAACTAAATATACACCTACTATAAGATCCAGCAAAGGCCAGGTATGGTGGCTCACACCTGTAATCCTAGCACTTTCAGAGGTCAATACCGGAGGATCACTTGAGGCCAGGAGTTTGATACCAGCCTGAACAACACAAGGAGGCGTCAATCTCTATGAAACTGAAAACAATTAGCCCAGCATGGTAGCACATACCTGTAGTCCCAGCTACTCAGGAAGCTGAGGTGGATCCCTTGAGCACAGGAGATTGAGGCTACAGTGAGCTGTGATCATGCCATTGCACTCCAGCGTGGGTTACAGAGTGTCTCTTAAAAAATAAAAAAGTCCAGCTACACAAAAGGAGTGCTACAATACAGACACTAAAAGATATGTTTAAGAATGTGCATGGGCCAGGCGCGGTGGCTCACGCCTGTAATCCTGGCACTCTGGGAGGCCGAGGTGGGTGGATCACCTGAGGCCAGGAGTTCAAGACCAGCCTGGCCATCATGGTGAAACCCTATCTTATAAAAAA